TCAGTTTTGTTATGAAGCTACACTGAACAATTTACAAATTAGGCTTCTGAAAAATTAAGCCTCCACTAATCCAAAAACTTTGAACTGTATCCTCAACCTAAGATGGATCAAAATATCACACACAGATAAACTACATCTAGCAATACATATTATGATGTTCTATGTCATAGAGGAAAAATAGAGCAAAAAAAAATTTACTAAATATCTTTTGTGCATCTTTATTGCCAATTTGGTTAATCTTTGGATTATGGTAACTTGGCGATTTTTTGGCAAAAATTTGGCAACCAACGCTGCTACAGTAACCTGCTAGTTTTTGTTTGGACGCCATTCTGTTTTCACGAAGTAAAGCCTTTTTTTTTTTTTTTTTTTAACTCAACATTTTTTTCCAACAATCTGCTAGCCGAATTACGCTTATGCTAGAACTTTTATGGAACATAAGTGCTTAATCATGACGAAGATTAGGTGCGAAATTGGGAGAAAGTGCAGAATCGCAAATTGCTTGCCACAAATTTTTAAGAATTCCACATACATGGTATCCATGTACACATTGACATATTTTCACTTAAAAAAACATCCCACAATTGCACAAAATGGCATTGCGCACACTCGACTTTATCCATGTACACTGCTAAAGTCCTAGCTAGTAACCTTTATCGCCTTACCAAAATGTCGCCAAACTACCTGTTACCATATTCCAAAGATTAGCCATTAATTTAATTAAAAATAATCAGTTAATATCTATGATTTTAAATACTATAATGAGCAAAAGTTTCATATCATTTGTGTTTTTCAATTTTTTAATACTTTTTAACATTTAAAGATATGCTAGTGTCTGGCACACAAAAAAAGTACTTTCTGATTACCTTCCCCCCAACACACACATGCCAAAATGTAATGATAAAGCAACACACCATGTTGTTAAAGTATTTATGAGGTGCAACTCTCGATGATGGCAAAAAGTGTTTATGTGACAATCCAAGTATGTGCATAGCACATTATGTTTGCATACATGTGAATTTGCCCTTCAGAAATTCAGCAGTCATTCTTCTGATTTGTATTTCTTTTGGCATTAAGTACACAAACAAACATTTCTCTCCAAAGTCAGCAAGAATTTCACACTTTCGGTGAGGGTTTGTAATAATTAAAAATTACCAAAATATTAGGTCATACACAATAAAATACAAATAAACCAGATAACTAGCAAAATGAGTAAAACAATATGGTATATGTTGTTAAAAAGAGCACAATATGATGGTAAAATAAGTAAAACAATATGATGTTTCAGCAGATTAGTTTCACAAAAAATGTCAACTACCTAACAACAGCAAAAAAATTATATCAATTATACACATATCCATTGATACATTTCAGTATATAGCATGATATGATACAAACTTGCAAATAATGAAGAACATAAGGTATAGTATATTTATTTTTAAATTATAATACTTTTACAGAATAAGGTCTATTAATATAAAACTCACATAGTGCAAAGTGTTTAAAAAATAATAATCAAATAAAAATTATTTGTCTGCAAGAACAGAAAAAAAAAAAAAACTGCTTTTGCAAAATATGTTACTTATATTAAAAATATATATATATATATCACTTTGCTGCAATTGAAAATAAACTTACTTTTGTTAAACAAAACGCATGTATGCGGAGAAAAATTTATTTACTTAAATGCATAGTTTTCCCCTAAAAAGAACCTATTTACAATCAATTTTATTAAGCTAAAAGTTCCAAAATTCTAATGTTCTGTATCAATGCACGAAATGGTACGATACAGTATGAATTATTAATCTTAAGCATTAAAACAGTATATTTATATACAGTCAAAAGTCTTTAATCCGGACGTCCATAATCCGGAATGATCTATAATCTGGACGTCCATAATCCGGAATGATCTATATAATCCGAACCTTAAAGCTACAAACTTTCTGCTCATGCATAAACACATGCGCATAATACGTTTACGCATGTGCATAATACATTTACGCATGCACGTTTAATGTATAACAGACGGTATAAGCTAAGCTAAAATTATCTAATTATCTATTTCAGTTAATGTTGCAGATTGCATTGTTCCTTAATCTTCTAACTGGATCCGGTTTATTATTTTTTGCAGACTGTTAGAGCAATTTGATAAAAGTAAGCTTGAACTTTAGATTATGTCAAAAAGAATTTCCGATTCTGGAGCTGCCAAAGGATCTACAAAGTGAAAGCATGTTTCGATGTCCATCAAACAAAAAGCGGAATTGCTGCAAAAAATGGATAAAGGCATATCCTTTGTTTCTCTAATCTTTCCAAAATATGTTTATCAATTTCATGCTGCTCTGCGGGGGGGGGGGGCGACGTCGCAGCATGCAATGGTCTATCATCTATCAGCATCAGTAAGTTCATCTATCAGCACTATCCTTATCTTCAGGGCAGATGTTTTTATTTTATTCGGCTTATAATTCCTTACTAAATGTAGTATTTCATCTCGATGTACTCCGTCTTTGATATGATTTAAATCAAATTCCTCGTCATTATAAATATCACGAATACACATCAAATAGTTTTCTGGTTGCAATTTTCTAATTTCGACTATGTGTAATGTATGCTTTACGCATGCACGCGTTGAAAGAAATGTTTAATAAAGTAAACAAATATATATTAAACTTTTTTTGTAAATTTTGATAGATAATATTGATGATAATTGATTTATATCATAATTGCTCTTTATTTCATAAATTACAATTTCATATTTTTAATTTTATAATTTCTGCATGCCATCTTACCAGATTTAAACTGATGACCTATAATCCGGAAAAACTTATAATCTGGAATCGCCGAAGTCCCAACGAGTCCTGTTTGCACAAGTTAAGAATTTGCAGAAAAAGGTACTGTAACCCATAACTTAAAAGAAAAAGAGATGTAACTTATTTTTGTACTTTGGTGACGTTTAAAAAATTGTTTGGCTTTAGTTTTTGCTTGCTTGCTTACTTCGTAATATTTTATTTAATGTTTAAAAATGTCTCGTACTTGTATGGAAGTAATGAAGAGCATTCAAAAATTGATTATTTTTTATCATAAGGATGAAAATTCAATTCGGGATATCGCTAATCATTCGGGATATATTTACCTGATTCTAAGGCACAGCAATGCTCTAAAGAAGAAAATCGGAATCAAAATAAAGTAAGAAAAGGTAGTCCTAACAAAGACAATTCAACGTGACTCAACATGATCAGAGATTTAGAGGTAGAAAATCTGTTAAAAATCCATGTTCAAGGGTTGTGAAGAGTTTCACAGAATTTATCAACAAAACTTCCTACTTCAGTTTCTCATAAAACTGTTCAGCAAGTGCTCAGATCAGCTGGATTACATGGGTGCTCTGCTTGAAGAAAATTTTTTGGAAGTGCAAAAAAAAGAAAGCTTATTCATTCATTTGCAAAATCAATGGTAAATAAGCCTGAAATATATTGGAATCATGTCTCATTTGCAGATGAAAGAAATTTAACATTTTTGGTTCCTATGGGCCTATAACTGTATGGAGAAAAAAAAAAAATGAAGAGCTTAATACCAAGACCTTGGTTTGAACAGTAAAACATGGCGGTGGAGGTGTTCTAGTATGAGGGTGCATGTCAGCATCAGAATCAGTGGCGTAGCTAGGGTAGGGAAACGGGGGACATCTGTTCCCAGGCGCAGCATCGAGAGAGTGCCAAATTGTAATTAAAAAATTTCAGAATGAAATGTTTTCCATTCTTGGTACACAGGAGGGGGCACAAGTTCTTCAGTTGTCCTCCGGCGCTGAAATCTCTAGCTACCTCTCTGATCAGGATTAAATAATTTAATATTTATTGAAGGCACAATGAACCCTGCTCTTCATTTAAATATTTTAAAACATGATTTAAAATTATCCCCCCAAAATTCAGATACAACTTTTTTTTTTTTTTTTTTATCAGGGTAATGATCTTAAGCACATAGCCTTCAACGTTTGCCTTTTGGGTGTCTATAATTGTCCAAAAGTTCTGAAAACAACACTTCAATAACCAGAATTAAACCCAACATAACAGCAGATAATTTGCAGATAATTACAGGTTAGAGTACAAAGACAAAACACTAAAATAAAAAACAAATTAAAAACAGTAATGATGGAAGAATGGAGGAACACTGAGGCTAATATTACAAATAACTGGTTAACTCTATGCCCAGACGTTTAAAAGCTGTCATAAATATTGTAGGATATACTACAAAATACTAATTGACAGAAATACAACAATATTTACTAATATATGCAGATTTCTTTAAAGCGTACAAAGACTTTAATGAGGTAACTTTTCTGTTACTTTTTTATTATTGATTTGGTTTAATCCTAGTATCCGGTGCACACGGGATTTGGCTACTTTATGATGAGCAATAAAAACGGGACATATACGATGAGTAGTAAACGGGTCATTCAAAGAATATATATAGTTATACATAGTATATACTTAGTATATAGTGTATAGTATATACATAGATGTTGTTTGGGTGTATATATATAGTGTATAGTACATAGACGTTGTTTGGGTCATTTTTGGTGTTGGCGATAATTTTCAAAATTGCGCCAAGGCTGCACCGTATACTAGGATTTTACCATTGATTTTTCCAAATAAAAAAGCTTTGATATGTTCATAAAATAATTAACGTAGCCTGGTTAAGAGACATTTATAGATATTATAATAAATTTTCATTCTAAAATATTAATTTTTAGTAATGAAGTAAGCAATATATCACTGAAACTCGTAAGCTTACAAACACTTTTGTGAGCCACTGTATACATATATATAAGCACAATGTTTCAAATGTAGTTGTTAAACAAATTACAGTGCATAATCGCATAGCTTAATAAAAACTACTACATCCAAACAGACCTTACATGTTAAGATTTCAAATCTTGTTTTCTTGACTTAAAACACTATTAAGATTTACTATGATTTCACTTTTTTAATATGAAAAGAAACGACTGATCATACTTTTAAAGCTTTCTTTCGAAAAGATTTTTAAGCTTTCTTTCGAAATCATACACTGCAACCATTTCCTTTTCAACTTAAAAACTCTTATTGTCCAACAAATTACATCTTTACATACGGGAAATACTACTACACATTAAAAAAATAATAATAATTAGATTAACATAAGCTCTCATTACGTGATCTCTTAGACGAGAGAGACATTATATTTTTGCACATTCTAAATCTTTTTGCCTGTAGTATTACTTTATCTGCTGGTTTCAAGAAGGTTGATCTCCTGGGTTGGTTTGGTTCTAGCAACATATCGATGATACCATGAAGGTTAAAATAGGTGACCTCTAATAAGTGAGTGAGCTTAGTGAAAATTCACCGGATGATATGTTTAGTTTTAAACACGCCGATGTTATTTGCTGACATTTTGGGCCATCTCATTGCTCTAATAAAAATGTCAATGCGATAGTGAATATAAGAAGTCTAATAAGAATGTTTCATAGGTTTCGTCTTTAGTAATAGTAATAATAATTTATTACTACTCTATTATTATTACTTTATCTATGTGTTCGTGCTCGTTTTCTTTCGCGAGAAAAATGTCCTCTAAGATAAATTAATTCACATTTTCATGTATGATCAGAAAATTTTGCACTCAAATATTATATTTATATCATATATAAATTTGTATAAATATTTAAAGTTATACAAATTTTATAAATTAGGGACGGCTTATGTACGAATTCAAAATAAGATTCAAAGAATTTGTTAAAAGCAGTTTGTTGACAAAAGACTGCCTATTCGTTCAACATAAAGCAAATTTAGCCCTTTATTATCTCATAAAAAATGCAATACCGTACTGAAAAGGTCTGCTCCTACATAGAATACATACTCGAATGAATTTTAAAAAATAGCATACTTTATCATGTTATGAATAAATATTTGCCGAATATCACTTTTGTTATTTTAGTGTTTTTTTGATTAGTATCAATATTGAAAAATAGAGGGCGCCACAACTCCTTTTCGGCGGATAGTCAATTTTCATTTTGGGCTAATATTTAATTTTTCTGCTTTAAAATGGTTAATGTTTTTATCTTAGGAAATGAAGTAACATTTACAGATTCATCATGACACGTTTCATTCATCCAAATGGGATAAGGTTCGGAGAACAGCCTTGGTTGCGCCAACTTGGCTCCTTTAAGGATATGGGGCGAGATTTCATTATGCCAACGGAAGTAAATATCATGTGGGGAATAGGTGCTAGGGAGAAAAGGAAAATACATGGGGGAAAACGGGATTACGATGTGTTTATATTTGTTTGGTATCTGATTGCTAATTTGGTTCTGTTATAGCACAAAATGTGCACATACATAGCTTATATTCAAATACTTTGCAAACCTAAAGGTTTCGGTAACGTCATTGCATCTTCCTCCAAGTAGGAAATTTGGCGAATTTTTCACGCCTGTGTTGTAGATCGTCTGCAGAGTTGAACAGGTTTCCAATGTATATAACCCCCTGCAAAAAACAATTTAGGAGGTAAAATTTATGAAAGACTTATTCTCACAAGATGGAACCTTTTCTTCACCTGCTACCTAATGATCAGTACGGATTCAGAAAAAACCTCAGTACTACTCGACAACTAGTAAGAGTTGTAGAATTTTTGGGATCTGCTTTCCATAACAAGCAAAGCGTTGCGCTCCTTATGCTGGACGTGGCAAAAGCCTTTGACCGCGTCTGGCATGAGGGACTCGTCTTCAAGCTTATCAACTTGGGACTTCCTAGAGAACTCATTCTTTTGATCTTCTCCTTTTTGCAGAACCGCACTTTCTTCGTCGCTCAAGGAAATGAAAAATCCAATTCAAGACCTATAAGATCCAGCGTCCCACAAGGAAGTATTCTCGGTCCAGTGCTGTATCTTTTCTACATATCAGATTTTCCTCCCCCTGGTTTGGACAATTACTCTCCGTTAGCATGTTATGCCGACGATACGGCGATTGCAATTAAATCCATCCAAGCTATATCCAATACCGTAGAAGACTGGTGCACAAATTGGCGCGTAAAAATCAATGTTAGCATGTCACAACTTTTAATTCTTAGCTAAACTAAGAAAACCGTTGCTTTTAAAGATCTCTACCTTTTTCAGAAAGCTGTTCCTCTGGTCACTAAGGCAAAATACTTAGGAATTATTTTGAACCAAAGGCTCACATGGTCTAACCACATTAATAGTGTCAAGAGCAAAGCCATGGGCATAATATGCAGATTTCTACCGGTCATTGGAAAATATTCAAATCTTAGCTTGCGTACCAAAAAACATATATATATACCACTTGCTTTCGACCGATACTTTGTTATGCTGCTCCTGCTTGGAACACTGTCACTCAAACTCAACTGCATCAATTACAAGTAGTGCAAAACAAATGTCTGCGCATTATTACTGATTCACACTATCTTATCCGCAATAAACTTTTACACAGAGACTTAAAACTTGAGACGATTCCAGATTACATCAGGAGATCTAATGAAAAATTCTTCAACAAAGCTGTGCAATGTGATTTTGTTAATTACTTCCAAGTCTTTAATTATGAAATTCTCTTCGAAGATAGAAGCGTCAAACCACTTGCAGCTCATACTTTTATGGGAGGAGACGATAACTTTTTCACTTAGCTCCTCAATTGGTAGCTGTTTATATTTCAATGCATCTGATTTTGATTGAAGTTCTTCTGTAGCTTGAATATTATTCTTGGAGATTGATAAAACTAATGCTGTGAGATTTTTCGCATTGTGATGATATAGTAGTGTTGTAAATAGGTTTCTTACGTTGTTCTTGAGTTGCTGTAGTGTATTGCTTTGAGTAGTTGTATTAAAATTGTGTTCTATAGTTGCATTGTATTGTGTTGTATTTAGCACTATTTATTGAGGTTCTTTAGTTGTATTTGAATTTGTCATTGGAACTATTGCGGTAGTGTACCTTCTCATATTGTTGTCATTGATTTGCATTGTCTTGGGTCCTCCCTGAAAGCTATGATCGCTCGTCACGTTTTGCGAACTTGCCCGATTGGGTTGTCTTGCTGCTTTTGGTACTTCTCTTCTTCCCCTTTTCTCTCTTTTCTCATCTGAGATTATCTCCACGTCCGGATTTCTTTATGTCAAGTGCCCTTGGGCTTTAATTCTGGAACCGGCAACATTGCCCTTCGCAATAGCTCGGTCAATTATAGAGTTTAAATCTAAGTCTAATTTAGGAGGACAAAACGTTGAAAGCTTCATTAGCCAAAAGCTCGGTCAATTATAGAGTTTAAATCTAAGTCTAATTTAGGAGGACAAAAGTTGAAAGTTCCATTAGCCAATCAAGATAACAAAACGTTGCGCTCTTTCAATAGCCATCTGCAGAGTCTGGAAACCATAACGAGTTAGTGCATTCAACGAAAAATTTCTCAAGAGCACTATTTGGCTCTCCGCTAAATATAATTCAAATGATTAATTATTTGACTAATACTATTAATAAATATTCAGCTAAGGGTTATGCTAGAACGTGGAAAGATCATTCGATATTTTTTCAGAGAGCGTTGGGAATATCTTTAAAACTGCCTCAGTTAGCAATTTTGAACCATTATACATAAAATCTTGAATGCTGAACTGATATTTACATGGAGTAATTTATAGAACTTAATCATAGAAAAAGAATGCGTTCAAAAAATGCTCATATTTTTTTAATAATCTCATTGTGTATTAGGTCAGCACTTCATTGAATGCATTGAAATTAAGTATAACTAAAACATATTTTAAATAGTCTTCAAATATTAGGTATATTGTGTTATTTTATATAAAGATTCTTTAAAGTAAATTTTACCTCTTCAATATTTCAATATTTTTTCTTGCATCACGTAGTATAAGTTATTTCATCGCCGGAAGGATGGGATAATTGGAAGTTAAGGAAGATCTCGAGAGATAAATTTTGAAATTCGGCTAATATTTTGTAGCCGAGGATTTTCACTTACACTTTCTTTCAAAGAATCTGTTAGATAACGACGTATTAAGTTATATTTATTTTCAAACAATCAAGCTCTGCCAGGGTTAATAGAATCGTTACAAGAGATTAAGATCTTGATTTAAGCTGATAGTAGTATAATGTAATACGTTATATGCCCCACAGATTTTTTTTATTTGGTAACTGTTATAATCATTGGTTTGGTTATTTATTTCATTACGGCAAAGCACACAAGGGCTATCTGCATAAATGGAGGGATGCCTTCGTTGAGGACTTTTCTAAGTGAAACTGGCTTGTACCATGCTATGCATGGGAAAAATCACGAAATCACCCATGCAACCAGACCATTCGCTGCTATTCGAACCCCGCTCCGTCGTCGATGACCTAATCTGCTATCATGTAACGTGCTTTGTATTCGAAAATGAATTGTTCAAGGATGCCGGCAAATACTAAAAGCATTTAAACATTGGAAACCATCTCGAAACTTCAATATAAATCAGAAAAATTCGTGATTTTTTTATTTATTATGTGGCAAAATTATGAAAATTCCTTAAAATTTGAGAAAATTCGCTCAGTAAAAAAGTGGGTCCTGCGGAAGAATTCAAACTATGGATAACAACTTTACTTTATAGGTTGTCTGCTTTGTCAGCTCTTTGATTGTAAATCATCAAATAATAATTAATCGTAAAGCAAATGAAAGATCTTTACGTAGGTAAGCATACTTACCTAAATTTCAAAGATTATTTCGGCTTGTCGCTGTACGTGTTAGATGTAAATAGGTGTGAACAGGATTTTCATACGTTATCATGAATTTTTTAAGATATTGTTGCGTTTTGCGGCTTCGTATATTTGGATTAATTGATGATCACGCGATGAAGGATGAAAAACATAGGAGCAATTTGTACTAGTTTCAGGAAAAAAATTTTTTTCAGGTAAAACTTCATTAATGTTATTCCAATTAAAACCCTGGCATTTTTAATTGAAACTATTTCTTGTTCTGTTTGTAGCTTTTAAAAATTGCTTTGGATTGGATTATTTTGGTTACGGCAAAGCATACTAAAGCAGTTTGCGTAACGAAAGATTGTCTTCATGAGAAGCTTTCTAAGTGGAACTGGCTCGTATCCACATTACGTGTGGGGAAAATCACGAAAATTCCCATGCAGGAACTTCTTCGGGGATTTGAACAATGGTCGATCTAGCAATTTTCAGCTATTTTAACGTTTGGCCGTGAAC